GGCGGTGTGTGCGTGTGTGCCTGTGTGTGTGTGTGTGTGTGTATGGGTATCGTTCGTGCACAGGGCCTGCCTGTCGGGCGAAGAGAGGGGGGAAACCGGAGGAGAGTGCGGACTAAGGAGAGAGAGAGAGAGAGAGAGGCGGGAGGGAGGGAAGGCGGGAGTGCGAAATGAAAGGGGGCGGGGTGCTTTGCGGGGGCTGGATGGCGGCGGAGTGGCCAACACACCGGCCGGCGGGCAGGCGGCAGAAATGGCCCCGGTCTGGGCGGCCGGATCCGGGGAAGCGAGTGCGAGGGCACCGCCAGCAGGCACTTCTCCTGGTCTCCATCCCTCGTCCTGTCTCTGTGTATGTGTGTGCGTGTGTGTGAGTGTGTGTGTCGCCTCACTCCCGCCGCTTGCTTGACGCGAGATCCGGGGCGGGGAAAAGCGCTACTGAGGTTGGGAAGATGGTTCCCGGAAGCTGCACTGTCCTCCAATAAGGCCGATGGGAACCAGTAGCCCTTCCCCCGCCCGCTCCCTGCCTATCTCTCTCTCTCTCTCTCTCTCTCCCTCTCTCTCTCACTAACTCGCTAACTCGCTAACTCGCTCGCACGCCCCCGGACGCCGGCCCCTGGTGCCTGTGCCCCCCATGGTTTAAGCCCCTTGCGGCTCGGTGCGCGCCTAATCGGAGGGTGACCACCGACAAGCGCACATTTCCCGGGGCGCGCGAACGGGCCGGCCCTCCCGCGCACGGCCCCCTGCGGGCGGTGGCCGGCGGCTCCCCCCGGAGGATTGGGGGAATGTCTGTTTGCTGCCCCGCCCGCTTTCTGGCACATAACTGTCACATTTCCGCCGGCTAATGGGATTTTCGCCAAACAAAAGTGCCTCGCCCAGTATCGGCGAGAAGGCCGGACCATGTGATAGGGGCCGCGTCCTGCTGGTCGGCTTCCAATTTGGGAGATTTGCCAGCCACTAGTCACCTGGAGGGTGGGAGGCTGCCTGGTGTACTGGAAAAGGAGAATTGTCCGACCAGGAGAAGGCCTTTGGGGCGCGGCTGGCAGCGTGCGCGCGCGTGTACTCCAGAGTCGGCATTGCTCACGTGGTGCATGTTTCAGGCCCATCTCGCGAGGTCCACGCCAAAGGGCACCCAGGCGGCGGTCGCCGTAGATCGCCAGGATTCTCCACTGCCACGCCCGACACGCCTGCCCTCCCCCCGCTCCCCCCCCCCCCCTCAGCATACACACCTCTCCTCGTCGCCTCCCCCTCGCCCCGAGATCCTACGCCAAAGAGAGACACAGAGAGAAAGAAAGCCCTGCTGTCTCTTCCCATCTGGTCCCTTGCCTGCTGCGCCTCCCTCGCAGCCTCCTGTTGATGCTCCGCTCCGCTGCCGATTTCTCGCGACTGGTCAGCAACGCGGGCTCCGGCCTTCAGCAGCGCATAACTCCCCTCCTTGCACGCGGGCTTTCCGTCTCTGCCACCGTCAGTGCCCAGCCTCGCCGGGCGTCGCCCTCTCCTCGTAGCATGACCGACGAATCGCCCCGGATTCCGGACCGGCCGTTTGATGTGCGCGCCGCCAACACAACCGCCTGCGCCATGCCGGAGCCCTTCGACCCGGCCGATGCAACCAGCCTCTACCGCGGCATGAACATCCTGGCTCCCATGGTCCGCAGTGGCACGCTGCCGATGGTGCGTGCGCGAGCCCGGGCGAGATGTCCCCACATGATGGCACAACCTTGCTTTTGGGTATCAGCCCCCTGGCTCGCTCTCTCTCTCTCTCTTCCTCTCTGCTGACGCCCTCTTCCCCCTCTCCCTGCCCTCTTGCCGGCCCGCTGTTCCTCCAGCGGATCCTCGCCCTGCAGTACGGGGCCGACCGCGTGTATGGCGAGGAGCTTGTCGATCATAGCATGCTGCGCACGGTTCGCGTGGAAAATCGTGCGTTTCGGCGTCGGTCGCCCCTTCCTCCCCATCCCTGTCTCGTCGGCCTAACACGCCTGCCGTCCCCTCCCCCCTGTTACTACCTTTCCCAGACGCCCTGGGCACCGTGGACTATGTCGACTCGACTGGAAAGGTGATCTTCCAGACGTGCGCCCGGGAGCGCGGCCGCGTCATTTTCCAAATCGTGCGTCCCGACATCCCCACCTTTGTGCTCCTTTGCCGGCACACATGCTTGTGCGTGCTGCTGACCCCTGCTCCCCAGGGCACATCCGATCCGGAGCGCGCTGTGCGCGTTGCCAAGATGGTCCACCGCGATGTGGCAGCCATCGATCTGAACATGGGCTGTCCGAAGCCCTTCAGCACCTCCGGCGGCATGGGGTCCGCCCTGTTGGACCCGTGCGACCGCGCCGTCAATGTACGTCCCACTTCGCACGAGGCCGGGGCTCTTGCCGAAAGATGCCATTTGACCGGAGCCGCGCACTGACCTTGCCTTCTTGCTGCTGCTGCTGTTGCTGCTGCTGCTGCTGCTGCTGCTGCTACTCATCTTCCCCTCCCCCCAACCGCCCTGGGACACGGCTGGCCGCCGTGCAGATCCTCAAGGCCCTCAAGGCAGCGGACTTGTCCTGCCCGGTTACCTGCAAGATCCGCTTCATTGTCGATGCCGAGGAGCGCGAGGAGGTCTTGCGAGCTCACACCCAGGCTCGGAATACCAATGCCCCGCTGCCCCAGGTTCTGACAGTTCCAGGCGGCCAGGCCGAGGCCCCTGATTCCGGCGGAGCAGCCCTCGCCGAGGATGCCCCGGCCCCTGGCATCCCGGGTATCCGGTCGCTCCAAGCATCGCAACGCCTGGTGGACACGCTGTCGCGCACCGGCGTGGCGGCCATCGGTATCCACACTCGGTTCCCGCACACCCGGCCCCGAGAGGCCCCAACGACCAGCTGGTTTGGCCCGGTGTCCTCCGCGGCCGGAAGCCGGGCCGCCATCTTGCTCAAGTGCGCCAACTCTTTTGCTGGATTTCCTTC